AGTTCAAGCAAGGACGGGCCGAAAACAGCCCCCGTCCACAGAGAAGAGGTGCGAACCAGCACAGAGGAAGAGTCAGATGAGGACGTCTTCCATACAGAAAAGAAATCGAGCGAACAAGGCCGCCGCCACGAGAACTGCCCTAGCTGTGGCGGGGATCACGAGAGACAGTCGTGTAAATACAGAGAAACCATTTGCAGGCGTTGCGATAGAAAAGGCCACCTAGCACGAGTCTGCAGAGCTCAACTTCTGCGTAGTCGAAAGCCACGTGACTACCGCGACCAACCAGAACCGGCTCGTTCAAAACAGCCAATCAAAGATGACGGCGCGAGAAAATGGCGCGAACCTCAAAAGCGGGAGACTTACAGCACGAGAATTGGCTAAGCCAGCACAACCAATGACAAGAAAGTCTACACGAAAGTAGAAATCGATGGCAAATTGTGCGAAATGGAGATCGACACCGGGTCTACATTATCGATCATGTCCTGGTCAACACTCAAGGCACTCCTGCCCAAGCTTCAAAAGAACCAGCTGTCCCGGCAGAAAATCCGCCTACTCGACTATCAGGGAAACCGAGTTCCCGTTGAAGGCATGGGCATGTTCCGGGTCACCTACGGCGAGGTCCAGAAAGAGCTGCCCCTGACCGTCGTTAGCAAGCCTCTACCAAGTCTACTGGGCATGAAATGGTTCCGGGCCCTCAGCATGGGTTTCACGGGCGTTCACAGCATCAACGGATCATCACTTAAAGAAACCCTGCTCCACGAATTTCGGGACGTTTTCGAAGAGACTCTAGGCAAGTACATGGGGACCCCTATATCTTTCAATTTAGACCCCAACGTAGCACCAATTAGACTGAAAGCAAGGCGAGTTCCCTTTGCTTTAAAGCCCAAAATCGATGCAGAGCTAGACAAGCTCATTAAGCAAGGGGTGCTAGTTCCCGTGGATCACGCTAAGTGGGAAACCCTAATAGTTACACCAGTCAAATCGGATGGCTCAATTAGAATTTGCGCCGACTATAAGTGTTCGATTAACAAGGCGTTGCAGCAGAGCGCCTATCCGGTTCCAATAGTCCACCATCTACTACACTCCCTGGGCCCTGGCAAGCTATTCGCAAAACTAGACCTTGCGCAGGCGTACCAGCAACTGCCAGTAGATGACACTACGGCAGAATCACAGACTATAGTAACTCACAGAGGTGCCTTTAAATGCACCAGGCTTCAGTTTGGGGTCAGCATCGCCCCAGGACTTTTTCAGAGTACTATGGAGCGCCTTCTACAAGGCCTCCCAGGTGTCGTCCCGTATTTCGATGATGTTTTGATTAGTGGCCAAGACAAAGTTCAATTGGGCCAAAGGGTTAGACAAGTCCTAACCAGATTCAGAGAAGCGGGACTTAAACTCAAACGAAATAAATGCAGGATAGCAGTGCCATCAGTGGAGTTCTTAGGCTACAGAATCGATGGCACAGGCATTCACCCCACAGAAAGCAAAGTGAGGGCCATCCAAGGAGCACCCACTCCCAAGTCAAAATCCGAGCTGCAGGCCTTCCTGGGCCTTCTCAATTTCTATACGATGTTTTTGAAACACAAAGCCTCCGTTGCGGAGCCTCTGCACAGGCTCCTGGGAAAAAACGTTCCGTGGGTTTGGGGCAAGCGAGAAGCGATCGCTTTCAACGCGGTAAAGAGACTTTTGTCCGAGGACAGTTTCCTCATTCAGTACAATGCTGAACTATCTCTGGTGTTGGTCTTTGACGCTTCCCCCTTTGGCGTTGGCGCGGTTTTAGGCCATAGACTGCTGAATGGGTTAGAGGCGCCCATCGCCTATTACTCTCGCACTCTGTCTAGTGCTGAAAGGAACTATAGCCAGCTAGATAGGGAGGCACTAGCGGCTGTAGTGGGGGTCAAAAAATTTCACGAATATTTGTTTGGCCGCACCTTTGAACTCATTACAGACCACCAGCCACTTTTGGGACTTTTGGCTGGCGATAAACCGACCCCGGCGGCTCTCTCCCCCCAGATGACCAGATGGTCCATTTTCTTAGCCGCATATTCGTACAGACTACTCCACCGGCCAGGCAAAACCTTAGGACATGCTGACGCCCTCAGCGGATGTCCCTTGTCCAAACTATTGGACAACCTGACTCCGGAAGCCCCGGTTTTACTGCTTGATATTGTCTCCCTGGGCCCCATTTCTTTGAACGAGGTGGCGAGGGTTTCTGCCAGAGACTCTGTTTTGCGCACAGTAATGGGCTGTGTAACGAGGGGTTGGCCTACCAAGGTGGACGGTGGTGATTTCCAATTGTATTTTAACAAAAAAATGAACTGTCAATGTTGGGGAGTTGCTTGTTGTGGGGTGACAGGGTGGTCATTCCTTCGCGATTAAGGCACAGGGTTTTAGAAATGCTGCATGAGGGACACCCTGGGGTTGTTCGCATGAAAGGCCTAGCTCGTAGCTATGTCTGGTGGCCTCATCTCGATCAAGATGTCACCGAGTGGGTGGGGAAGTGTAGGCCTTGCCAGGAGTCCCGCCCAGATCCTCCCATAGCGCCCGTTCGGGAATGGGAAAAACCAAAGAGACCATGGGGGAGGATTCACATAGATTTCGCTGGCCCGTTCCATGGCCAGAACTTTCTAATTATTGTAGATGCATATTCTAAGTGGCTTGAAATTGCCTTAATGCCATCGACCTCTTCTGAGGCCGTAATCAAAGTACTCAGAAAACTATTCGCTACACACGGATTGCCGGACACCCTGGTATCCGACAATGGGCCCCAATTCACGGCGACTCAATTCGAAGGCTACTTAGCCGAATTAGGCATAAGACATGCACTATCCGCTCCTTTTCATCCGGCTTCTAATGGCCTTGTTGAACGATTTGTAAGAACAGCCAAAGAAGCCTTTTCCCGACTCGATGCAGGGGACTGGCAAGCTAGAATAGATGAGTTCTTAGTGGTACAGCATGCCACCCCGTGCCCCACTTTGGGCCGCAGCCCGGCCAAACTTTTAATGGGCCGAAAGCTACGATGCGTTCTAGACAGACTGCATCCCAATTACTCCTCCGATAACTTCACCGGGGAAAGGGGAGGACTAAGACACTTCGAAGTAGGATCACTAGTGTTTGCTAGAAGCTACACCAATGGGCCCTTATGGGTAGAAGGAACAATCGTAGGAATTACCGGTCCAAAGTCATACACAGTTGATATCGGGCATGGTAAAATCTGGAGGAGACATATAGATCAATTGCGTAAACGTTTACCAAACGAAAACTCGTGTCCTAACTATCCAAGTCTTCCCAACACAGCTACCTCAAGCCCGAGTAAGCCGGAATACTTATCTGGCAACCCTGAGTTCCAGCGCCGCCCCAGCGAGCCGACACTCCCAGCTGGAGATAGCCACACCTCCGGAGAAATCCAGGAGGTTCCATTGGCGGAGCCGGAAGAGACGGGAGGTCCCTCCGACCGGCTCGACGCCTCACCAACAACTGAACTGCGCAGGTCAACCAGGATTAAGACACGCCCTGGTCACCTGCGTGATTTTGTATGTAAATATGTAAATAGATAGAATAAGTGCCTTCTGGGAAGGGAGGGGTGTTGTATATGTATCTATTTTGTGCGGGAAATTCAAATGCATAGTGAATCCTGATTGGTTCTTGGTCGCCTCTGGAAAGTATATAAAGAGAACTGTTGCCTGTGAGTTTTCGCTGAAGTCTCACCCTGAATTAAAGAGCTGTTGTTACTAGCCTGCTTGTGCCTCTCGTTATTCCCACGCCACAACACTGTTTATTTCTTAATGCCTCACTTTCAGTGCAGGAACTTTCTTTAAAAAGAGAAAATAATACAAGTGTAGTGTGGACTTAGCCACACAATGTGGGTTCGGGCATAACACTAATCTCAAATTAACAAAGCAGAGCTTCTCTATTCACATAACGTGTTATTATGAAACAAGTTATAGGGTTTGAGATGATAGGCTGATTCACATAGCATGTTAAAACAGCAGCTTATTCCCACACACACTTTTTTCAGCCTATACTAGTATACGCTAATCATACGTAAACCAAGCCAAACTTTTTTCAATGAAACACTCTAGCTTTACATACAATAGAGGCACTGTAGGCTGCTTTCTCTGTTGCTTGTCTTTTCAATCACACTGTAAAGAAGACCCATGTGATTAGAGAAGAGGAAGAAACAAGTTCTGAAATTACTTTTTCTATGTCAACTGGTGCTGCTGAAACTTTATACTGCAGGGAGCTGGCAGGGAAATAAAAACTTAGTTATAGCTTGTTTATTATATTTATTGGTATGCTGCTTATTCAAGTGACTTAAATACTTATTAGTAGAAATGAGTGAGCGTCTCCTGCATCATTACAAACAGAAGGCAGATAAGTATTACTCTCAGTGCTATTGTGCATGACTACAGATCATGGCCATAAACCAATGGAGAAGATCAGAAGACAGTAAAAAAGCAGTTGGTGGAGCAACTTAAAACAGATGTAAGCAACAAGGATATATTGATATTGCAGCATTATTGGACTGTAAAGGAGTCATTTTATTACCAATCAAAAGATATTGTGCAGTCTGCCTTTTAACATTTTTTTCTGGTATGAAAACATGGAGAAAGCACTGGGCATTTCCAGTGGAGAATTTTAATATGCAATGCTCTGTGATATTGGGGGAATTTTCACCAGTGGGGTAGGAAAAGTCTACCATTTGAAACCTGCAGTGTGGATTTCCACTACTGCCCTTTGGGACTTTTCTTCATCACCGACTGTATGAATGGAAAGTTGGAAGGAGCTACAGGGACTTTTGTGATTAGTACTACCGGGAAGTCGCTGAAAACAGCCAAGTTTAGATCGGTTTTCTCCACTCCTCTTGTTCAATTCCCTGACTGAAACGCGCAGAGCGATTGTCCAATAAAAGCCTTCTCTGGAAGCAGCCGGAGTGAGGCGCCTGATAATGACTTTGACGAGGAAGTAGGAAGAGTACAGTAATAGCTAGCCACAAGGGGGCAAAATTTTTCCAACCAGTTTTCCTCGCGTAGTGAAGCGGAGGCTGAGATGATCCTCGGTTAGCATGCTCATTACATCTGGAGGACGTAAGGAAGACGACAGCCAGGAATAAATAAAGTGTTATACGGCAAGGTAAGGAAGCGCTGGAACCACGCTACCTTCTTGAGGGGAGGGCTTCACCACCTGTCGCCGAAGTTTCGTGCGCCTTGTTCGCACAATGCATCCTCGCTGGGCTTGGCGCTAACGACTGCTAAATTACTGCTGGGCAATCCAAGGGTCAATTTACAGCCATATTAGCTGTTGCTGTTATCTCTAGGGATAGACTTTGGCTTCACATAAACAGAGTTTAATGGCCACTGTAACCTTAGCAGCAAGAGTCCCAATCCTGATGGATGGGTATTGGTTGATGATATGCTATCAGGTCATTGTTCACTCCTAGCAACAGCAGAGTTTTTCGTTCCTTCCACCTTTCCCAGCATTAGAGTCTTCCGTAGAGTCTTCTGTAGAGAGCTAGGTCTTTGCATAATGTGTCCATAGTGGAATCATAAGCCTGATCATATCTGCCTGGAATGAGAGCTTTGGGTTGATTTGTTTGATGATGTTTGATGATATATTTGTTGTTTTCTTGACTGTACATGGTATTGTCAAGAGGCTTCTCCAAGGTTCAAGGATTCAAAAGCATCAATATTTTTCCCATCTTCAAAGCCCAAGTCTCACTTTCATAGTGTGTCACAGAGAATCCACAGAGAATCCATGTATACCTGATCTTTGCAGGTATAGACACGTCATGGCATCTCAATATCTTTTCCAAGTTCTTTATGGCTACTCCATCAAATGTAGGTCTGTGGCATATTTCTTTATTAACAATTCCTTTCTTATTAATAATTAATCCTAACAGGGGGAAAAAAACTACCACTTTTATGTCTTCATTATCAGTTCTAAAGTTGGTTGTTCTACCTGTTGTCATTAGTTTGGTATTCCTTATATTTAGTTTTAGTCCCATTTTTTTCACTGTGCTTCTTGACTTTTTCTATTAGAGGTCACATCCATTGCCTTCCATTTGAATATTAATTAGATCTGACTTTGCTGTAGCAGTTTTCAAATAATCCATCAAGAAAACTGAAGTGGGAAAATATTCACAAAATGTAAAAAAAAAGATCCATGTGGATTTTAAAACAAGCTATGATGACATCCAAAGAAAGGTGGATGATGAAAATCTTAGCTAATAATAATGTATATAACTGAATGAAATTTTCTAATGTCCTGCAATGTCAGACAAGAATGTCAACAAATGCAGAAAAAAAATAAGAAAAGAAGCAGAATTTTTTTTAGGAACATTGGAGAAATCACAGCAAACATTTACAGCAAGTGGAAGAGGTCCATAATGTGATATCACAAGGCTTAGTCCTTTCCTCTATCCTGCACAGTACTCACATGGACCCATTGGGAAGGGTCCTCTGCTGATTTACTGTTGGTAATCAGTTATGCATTTCTGTCTTGTGCCAAACAGAAGATGCAAGGAAAGTTCTAAGCCAGTGTCTGCAAGTTTGCAGGGTGTGGATAGGAAAAACAGGCTCAGATTCAACACAAGCAAGGCAGAATGGGCATTCCTTTAGAGGTCTGCTAATGCTAGTTTAGTGGCAATCTTGGCTGTTGCTGGAGTGGTGCTTTGCCATGGAAAGTAAGCTTATAGCTTGGAGGAACTGATGGAAGCCAATTGAAGTTATGATTTGGAGAGAGACTGCCAGCTCTTTAGTTTTACTAAAGAATGAGTTGTCATCTCACAAAAGGATTACTGTACTTTACATGAGACTTCCTTGGTCAACAGTATGGAGAGGTGTTGAGAGATCTAGCAGTGCAAGGATAGCTATACTCCTCAAGGCCTGTCCCAGATCATCCCTGAAGACAACAAATGCAGACTTGGATTCAATCTGTGGATTGATAGCTATGGATCCAGAAAATCCACTTCTGTGCCTCAGTACTTTATTTATATCCTTCCCTAATAAGGGGAAGTTGGAGATAAGATAATGGTGTGGCCATGGGGGTGTATCCAGGGGTGGGCTTGAATATAATTAAATAAAGTGGAATATAATTAAATAAAGGATGACAAGAAATGTTGCCATTATTTCCAAACTTTCCCACATCCCCACTACATTATTCTTATGGAACATATGAGAACTTGAGGTTTCAGGAGAGGTTAGCCAGAAGATCAAGATTTGGGGAAAAAGCTGATAAATTCTTTTCATTTGGAAATACCACTTGTTATTGTTTTAGCTTACTTTTCTCCTATATGTCTTCTTTGACCTATCATTATTGTTCAGCAAGGAACAAATATCTTCCACACCTACCTATAGTCACAAAAGCAGAAGAAATAAAGGCACAAGAGATGCTGGCAAGCAAATCAATCCTTTTTGCAATATATGCAAAAAGCAATGAGAGCAGATTGGAAGCAATTGACACAAATACTTAATTTAGACATTCAGTCAGTTCCTCTCTCTAAGCCCTAAAAAACAGGAAAGGGCAAAAAGGTTGCCTAGAAAACTGCAGGGGCTTGGCCAGGTGGTCTCCAAGTCTGACTCAAGGACACCCGCTCCCCCAAAACAAACATGTATATTAGAAGTAACTTGGATTTTTCAGCCCCAACTCTTACTTCCCCCCAAAATAGGGGAGAATGTAAATTCTTTACATTACATAAATAACCCATGGAGGGGATGAGCTTTAAGGACAAATATCTTGTCTGGTTGTACATTGGTGTTCACCTCTCACACCAATTAATTTCTGGTAAAAGTTGGGTAACACTTTTTCAGCAGGAAGAACATTTTAAAACATATAATAGAACATGGAACATGTTGCCTGTGAACATGATGGCTGTGTTTACTCACACATGAGATGTGATTTTTAAAAAGAGCATATAATGGCCTAGTATAATGTGTGAACTAGGCCTGTGAAGTTGAATGGAGATGTGGGAAGCTTCCCTCCCCTTAGAGAATCAAATATTTTGGAGAATATTAAAAGAGGCAGAATATTCTATTTCCCCAAAGGAGAAATGGAGAAAAAAATCTTAACAAATTCAGAAAGCAGCCCCAGTCTTCCTGCCATAGCCTCAAGCAGAAGCCTCAAGTCTTTAGAAATGGATATTTTGTACCTATTAAGAAAGCCAGGCCATTCTATTCATAAACAAAAAGCCTTCAGCCACAGCTCCCACAGAAGGCTAGAGCTGATGCAATCAAGAATTTACATTTCCCCACCTAAATTCTAAGGACATAATAGGTTTAACCCACCACCATTGAAATAGTAAAATAGACAAGGCTCACTACATTGCACAACCCCCTGGAGCATCTCAATCACAAAACCCCAGAACCCTATAAAAATCCATCCACTCATACAGCCAATTAGTCAGCCACCCCAGAAACATGCTGCGGTCACTCAAATTTCTGGAAAACCAAATAAACAGGGACTTTCTTTCCTTGTAGCCAGCCTCCATTTTATTTCCACCATTTTTCTTCTGGCTTGGAACCTGACTGGATTTTTCTTCCAACAAGGGAATGGTGATTGAGCAAATTACTTAATTCTATCCAGCTTGGACATTTTTTCTCATACAAAATTACTTCCAGTTGCTTTTCTCCCATCAGGATTGCAAGTTACGAGTGGCTAACCTTAAATTGGTTCTCCTCCTGTCCTAAACAGCCTGTTTTTAAATCTTTTCTTGAGCTTCTCACTTTCTTTGTCTGCCATTGCTAATTTACCTCAGAGAATATTGTTCATGGCTACAGAATCAGTTCAACATGTTTCTTGCATCCTGTAATTTGTTAGTGTCATCATGTTGTTCTGGAATCTATTTGGTTATCATGACAGAGTTTAATTCACAGTTCTAGTGGAAACAGCATAAACTTTTTTCTCAACTCTCTTTTCAGAAACTCTTTGTTTAGAAATGTTTATGGAGTTCTTGGATTGTGAGAATATCTTTACAAAAAATGCAATTACCAAGTAATGAGGAAGAATTTGGTTTTCCAAAACTGGAGGTGTATCATCAAGTCTACCTATTGTCACATATGACCTACTGGAAATCAACAATCGTTGCTAATTTTCTGATTTGGGCAACTTTGGAATACACATATATATCACCTTTGGTTGGATGGACAGTATTAAGTTCTAAATATAATAGAGCTCTACTATCTCTGGACATAATTATATCAATTAAATAATTATGGAATGGAATGTCTAATAAAACGGATTCAATCCCTTTTTCCATGCTAAATTGACTTTTTGAGGAAAACCAACATTAAAAATTGGAAGAGAATCAGTGGTGAAATCCAAATTTTTTTACTACCGGTTCTGTGGGCGTGGCTTGGTGGGCATGGTATGGCTTGGTGGGTGTGGCAGGGGAAGGATACTGCAAAATCTCCATTCCCACCCTACATTGGGGCCAGCCAGAGGTGGTATTTGCTGGTTCTCTGAACTACTCAAAATTTCCGCTACCAGTTCTCTGAACTGCTCAAAATTTCTGCTACCTGTTCTCCAGAACCTGTCAGAATCTGCTGGATTTCACCCCTGAAGAGAATAATAATATGGAAAAAATTGGATGAAAGTGGGGATATTGACTTTGGAAAAATTGATAGATGATAATGAATTTTTAATATACACTGTGTTGAGAAACAAGTATCTGTCAGATGTAACTCAGTGGCAATATTTACAGGTACAACATTTGTTAACATTATTTGGACCAGCAATGTTTTTGCCTTCTGAGACACATGGGATAATAAAACAACTAGTTCAATCATTTCAAGTTTCAAGTTTATTAGATTTCTATACCGCCCTTCTCCCGAAGGACTCAGGGCGGTGTACAGCCATATTAAAACACATAGATTTATAAAATTTAAAACCAAATTAAAATCAATATATAAAATTGGCCCGCAGATTTAAAACACACATACACCCATAATAATAATTTAATATTTTTTTAAAAAGTACTATTAGTTTTTATAGCTATGTTACCAATAAATCAATTTGATATGCAAAAGTTAAGAGATATGCAAAATAAAGAATTCCACTTTATTGTCCAGACAATGGAGCAGTGTTTTAATTACTCTCATTGACTAAATGATATCTGATTCACTGTCCAGATAACCCATAATTGACTGACTTACTGAAGGAAATGTACAGTGTGTAAATGTACAGAATGCTAGGGGTGGAAGGGATCTTGGAGTTCTAGTCCAACTCCCTGCCCAAGACAGGAGTCCTTATACCATCTTGGACAAATGTTGTCTAATCTTTTCTTGAAAACACCAGTGATGGAACTCCCACAACTAAGGGATGTAAGCTGTTCCATTGCTTAATTATTCTCATTGTAAGAAAAATCCTCCTTAGTTCCAGGCTGAATCTTCCTGTGAAGAACTTCCACCCATTCCTTCTTGTCCTGCCCTTGGGTGTTATGGAGAATAAATTGACCCCCTCTTCCCTGTGACATCTCTTCAATTATTGGAAAACTGTTATTGTATCTCCATTGAGCCTTCTCTTCATTAGACTAAATTTGGAGTGCTTTAACTTGGGTTCCTACAGGAGGTGGGATTTGAAGGTGGCCACTCTAACTCATGATCAAAGGTCTTTTTCTTTTGCCAAATGTACAAGTTACTCCAATAATTTTGTTCTATGCTTCATCTACTTTCTTTTTATCCCAGAATGTTGCCCCTCACAGACTTGTTGCTAGAGAAACTGACTGTGGAGAAAACCCTGTTCCGAACCATGGTTATCTCCAGCCTGCTGCTGTGCTTGCTGGTCCTCCTCATCCAACAGTGTTTAAAAATCTTTGACATCTGCTACTGCTATTATGTCAACTGCCAGAGACTCCGCAGCTTTCCACAGCCGCCTCGCTGCAATTGGTTCCTAGGCCACGTGGGAACGGTAAGTGCAGCTAGTATAAGGAATGGAAAGATGCCAACATCTAAACATTTGCACAAGGAGATCTGAAATGCTTCTCACAGATGCTTCTCCTACATCATACCACAACCTTGAGGCCTATGACACACAGAGTCACAAGGATACTACATCTTTCAATTCCAGCAGAAGGGAAATAGTCAGAACAAGAATTGATGGAAAGCTAATTGCTAGTTAGAAAGAAATTATGGATTTCTAAAAGAGCATTCAATAACACGGAAAGATGGTTGTGACCAGCTGCACATTTAAAAAAAAAAAAACAACTTCATATCTGTGCACAAATGCATTTCTCCAGACATTGGTGCCATTTAAAAAATAAACAGACAAGCACAGGAGTGTTTGGATCTTGTAGTAGAAGTATTCAAACTTGGAAGTGAGGCAGATGGAGAGAGGGAGGAAAGTCTACTAGGATGGATGGGGGTGTTTTTAAAAAGCCCTTCTCTGCATACTACCTCTGTCGTCTTCTTACATTGGCTGGGCAACTTGTATGGCCAGGTTATTCATTGTGGTGGAACAGAAGAGTGGCATAGTGATTAGAATGCATTATTGCAGGCTGCCCACTGCCTGGAGTTTGATCCTGACCAGTTCAAGGTTGGCTCAGCCTTCCATCCTTCCAAGGTTGATAAAATGAGGACCCAGATTCTTGGGAGCAATATGCTGATTCTTAAATGCTTAGAAAGTGCTGTAATCTATGGAGCATTATATAGATCTAAATCTTATTGCTATTGCTGTTGCAAAGAAAAAGAAGAAAGAGATGGCAGCAATGACTCTATAGCAGCGGTTCTCAACCTGGGGGTCGAACGGCCATTTCACAGGGGTCGCCAAAACCCTCTCTCGCCCCCCCCCACACCTTCACTCACCCTCACCCTCTGCCTCTGTTGGATTGCCGTTCGCTGTTCGCTTACCCCGCCCACTTCCAATCTATTGCTGCCTCCTGAGTCCCAGCTGATGGCTAGAGGGAAACAAACCGTTTAAATTCTTGCCGCGGGGCTTCAAAGGGCCGCCCTATAGCTGATCAGTGTTAAAAGAAAACAAATGAGAAGACCAGTGCCTGCAAAAATAGAAAAAAACAGCCCCTTTCAGCTTCAGCATAGGTTAATTACCATAAGTAGATTTGATCAGCCTCCAGACTCTCAGCTGATTTGCTCTCAGCTGTTTTGCGGAAGGCTCTGTTAGCTGCAAAGAGAGGAGCAGATTTTTTTTCCCCTAGCTATGCTAAAAAAAACGAAACTGAAAGTAAAGCAGGGTTATGTTGCAAGTGACAAAATGAGGCAGAGAGATATTTCTTTTTCTTTTTCCTCACCAAAAAAGGTAGGTGCAAAACTGCAAACAATGGGAACTTTAGGCAAAAGAAGAGGTTCAAGATTTTAAAACACAAAAGAAAAAAAGCTCTATTTAACTAGGGAATTGTAATAATTGAGATACTATTAATTGTATATTGTGTTGAAAGCAGAAATGGTTAAGTTGTGGTTTGGAGGAATATATGGGGGAAATTATTTGGTTTATTATTATTGGTAAATATAATTAATTATTTGTAAGAAATTGGATTGCATGGAAATAATTGGAATATTCATGTTCATATTGATTGATATACAAAAAAAGATAGTTATATAACTAATTGATTTATATTAAAATGTTGAATTTGTATTAAACAACTGTATTACATAATTACATAATTAACCAATGTGAGGATGGATATAAAAATAGATGACAATGGGAAGGGGTATAATATAGAATAGAAGGGAAAAATTGAATTTGATTAAGATTAGAGATGAGGATGAAGGGTAATATTGGTTTTTTTAAAAAATAGATGAGGAATAAATATGGCAAAAAGGAAATATAGACATTGTAAATTTAATTGAAATGACTAAACACTGGTTAAATTTGTGAACAAGCCAAATACTCTGTTCAAAGAAAATACATTGTATGTTTGTATGCGTGTTTCTAATTATTGCTATTTATTTATATTTGTTCTCTTTTATTCTTTAAAGTTTAACAATTCATTCTTTATCTTAATATCTTTATATTTGTTTGGGGTTGGTTTTCTTCCCTTTCATCTTTTTTATTGTACAGCAATCTTTCTCCTCAAACCTACCACCTCTCTCTTTTCTTTCCTTCTTACTTTCTCTTCCCCCCCTCTTCTTCTCCTTCCTACTTCCTCTTCCTTTCTCCTTCTCCTCCTCTCTTCCTCCCTTTCTTACCCTCAATCCTACTCTAATTTCCCTTCCCTCCCTTCATCCCTCTCTCTTGCTGTATCCTTTTATGCATATGGACTACTCAGAGGGCTGAAAAAGTTATTTTTGACTGGTCCTCGCACTTTTGACCAGTCCTCGAACTTATGACTGTCCTCACATTTTATGTTTTTGCCCTATCTTGTCACCATGGTGAAGAGAAGCAGTTGTGAAATGAGTGACACAGTTGTTAAGAATGCTACAATGGGCATGATGACCAGTCATAAGTGCGAAGACCAGTCAAAAGTGCAAGGACCTATCATAAATCACTTTTTTCAGCCGTCTGGGTAGTGCTTTTGTGCACATGGACTACTCAGAGGGCTGAAAAAGTTATTTTTGACTGGTCCTCGCACTTTTGACCAGTCCTCGAATTTACGACTGTCCTCACATTTTACGTTTTTTGCCCTATCTTGTCACCATGGTGAAGAGAAGCAGTTGTGAAATGACTGACATGGTTGTTAAGAATGCTGCACGGGCATAAATGTGAGGATGGTCATAAGTGTGAGGACCAGTCAAAAGTGTGAGGATCTGTCAGAAATGACTTTTTTCAGCCCTCTGAGTAGTCCCTATACACATAGCCATGGCCACCCGGTCACATGACCAGCTAGGCACGCCCACCCAGTCACATGACCTCCAAGCCACGCCCACAAAATAAGCCACGCCCACAGAACCGATAGTAAAAAATTTTAGAACCCACCCCTGGTTGGGGGTCACCACAACATGAGGAACTGTATTAATGGGTCGCGGCATTAGGAAGGTTGAGAACCACTGCTCTATAGCATGCATTTAATGGGGTCTTTTCTAAGAAGTAAGAAGAATGCTCATTGCTAATCAACATCCTTTTTAATGGAATTCATTTACTCTACTTTTTCTCCAAGAATAAAAATTCCCAAAAATGAGGGAACCCCAATTTTTTGCAATTGATTTTTTTAATACAATACTACTTATTGATATGTGCCTTGTAGCCATATTTTAAATACCATAGATAGTATATCATATTATGGCATCTATCTAGAGCCGTGATGGCGAACCTATGGCACACGTGCCACAAGTGGCACGCAGAGCCCTCTCTGTGGGCACACAAGCCATTACCCCAGCTCAGCTCCACTGTGCATGTGCATGCACCTCCCACTGTCCAGCTGGTTTTTGGATCTCTTGCCGCAGGGTGCGAGGTGCATGCGGGAGATGTATGTGCATGTGGGGGTGCAGAGCGCATGTGCGGGGGTCACATGCACATGCGTGAAGGTGGGGCACATGTGGGGGTAACGTGCACATGCGCGGGGGTGGGAGTGCATGGGGGGTTGCACATGCATGCATGGGGGCAGGGCGCATGTGGGGTCATGTATGCACGGGAGAGCAGGGGGGGTCGCACACGCATTGTATTATGGGTGCACACACGCACTTTCAGAACTCAGTGATGAAAAGATTAGCCATCACTGACCTAGAGGGTAGGATAGAAACTTGATCTGTCCCCGTCCACACACACACACAAACACAGCCAGCCGAGAGTTAAGGAAACACTTTGGAACGCACCCAGTTTCTTTATCTCCAACTTGGCAGAGATAGACACACCGTCTGCCAAGTGCCTTTATTTTCACAGAAAAACAGAAAGACAAATACTCAGCTTCCAAATGTCCGACAACAATAAATCTTTCTCTCCGCAGTTCCGAACGAGGCTTTAGTGACTATCCAAGGTTAGTTTTGTTCATCACAAGGATCACTGACCACCACCCTCTATTATATAGTCTCTGGGGTGTGGTCCAGTGACTCAGTTCTAATCCCTAGCATGCCTCCTGAGCTGCTGCAATCGTTTATCACGCCTTCGGAGGCATGCGTCCAGGAATGATGTTTCTCCGTCACTCTGATCCGAGCCACCTGTCTCCCTGCTAATCTCCTCTCCCTCGACCAGCACCAGGGACAGTGCCAGAGGGGAGGGGCCTGGAGAGGGAGGTCTGGCTGACTCCTCTTCCTCATGCTCGGAGCTTTCTTCCTCTGATGGGACAGGCTCAGAGGGCGGGGCCACAACAGAAACTACCCACATGAAAACAACTTTATATAACTTCTATATTGCCTAGAATTAGAGCTGTGGAAAAAGGGGATGGAGGAGTGGAGGAAAAACCAAAACCAAACCTTGTGAAAAAATGATGGAGGTAGTCCTCAACTTATGATCACAACTGAGCCTCAAATTTTTGTTACTAAGCAAGGCAGTTGTTAATTGAATGGTGCAGTAAACTGAATTTAGCAAATATGGCTTCCCCCCTTGATTTGCTTTTGGAAGCTGACTGGGAAGATTACAAATGGTGATTACGTGATTCTGGGACAGCGCAACTATCATCGTTACATGCTAGTTGCCAAGTGTCCAAATTCTGATCATGTAACCATGATCAGGGATGCTACTATGGTTGTTTAAGTGTGAAAGCTGGGCATGTCACTTTTTTCAGTGCCATTGTAGCCTCAAACAGTCACTAAACAAAAGGTTGTGAGTCAAGGACGTTCAAGCATTTGTTATTATTCTCCAGGAAGATACAGGGCAACCAAGCTATTTGCAATAAAGTAGCTCCTCTGACAGTACTACTGCAGAGCACATAAAATGCAAATTATGAGGCTCCCCTTCCTCTTTTATTTTACTCATTTGTAAGAACACAATCTTCCTGCAATTTATTAAAAAGTGATGATATCCCTTCAGGTATTTCAGTGGTATCTGATGAGGCTACTGGTTTGGAGAGCATTTCCTAAACGAAGAGGCTGGAAGGAAGAGCACAAGTTTGTCTTCATTGGTGCTAAATAGGGATTGACTATTATGCTAGAGTAAAACCAGTGCAGAAATTGCATCATATATGCCTTGTGTATCGTATAGCTGTGTCCCATCCCACTGTTTCTGTCCTTTTCCCTCATTCCTGAGGTGACTGTTGCCTTCATCACAGTATGCCATTTCATCCAGTGTTTCCAGACACAGAAAGGATGAATCATTGTCATGCAATTTGTTCCAGCTCTCTGTTGAGAATGCAAGAGAAGCAGCAACTAGCTAATCTTGCTAGTTGGAAAGGGGATATTTTAAAGGGTCTGAATATATATACTTCATCCTTTCTCCAATAGGCCCCAGGTTTTTCTCATTCTAAATTTTGGCTCTTTTGGGAAGATACATGTCAACCTCTCTTTTGTATTTGCTCATGCATCCCACCCTGGGGCAGACAGGGCCTTTTTGTGGATTCTTCTCCTGAAAGGGAAGCTACTTGATAGAAACTGCTGAACAGACAGGGAAGCCTCCCTGAAGCCAAGAAGGAATCAACCAAATTAATGCCACTGACAAGGACAACTGAGATGTGATGTTTGCCACATAACTTGTCCTGGCATGCTTTAAAAAAGTGCTGGAGGAGAACAAAAAAGAGCTGATTATTTTAATGAAGATAAGGGAAAAGAGTGTTAATTTATTCCTTTCTTTCAGGCAGATTCCTTTCCCCAAGCTGTCCTTGCTGTTTTGCAAGAGAAGAAGTGCTTTCCATTATAAATTGTGCATTGGTGGAACCATTGTATGAACTAAAAGCCCTATAGCCCTCATATCATGCTCCCAATCCTATTTGCCTCTTTTCCACTGATTTGGCTTAATTTATTTATGATTAAGGAAACCAAGCTCTAGTTTTGATTGTTTATTTGCATTCTTCTGTCCAATAACATTTTATTATATTTTATTTCACTCTTAGTTAGATTTAAACTTAAAGGCTACCTGACTCCAGAGCCACTGTGGATAACTTACATTTAAAAAGAACCAATAACGAACAGAAGAAACTCTGTATGTCCAGAAAATATGAACTCTGTATATTACCCCCTCCAAAAAAAACCCCCATCAGAACAAAACAGCTGGGACCTGTGAGAATAATCAGATTTTTAAAGACTTTTGGACTTCAGGATGGTGGGTGACACATGGAAATCAGGGGAATGCTGTTCCAAAGAGCATGCACCACAACAGAGAAAGCACTCTTCCTTGCTCACCATGGATGGCATTATTTAATTGAAAGGACATGAAAAACATCTACAAAATGAACCTGGTGGAACTGTAGATTGCACTTGGACAAGCCTGCCTAAGACTTGATGAAAACGAAAGGAGATGATTTCATTCTTAGTCAGTGCCTCTAGGGCTCAAGGCCTGCATTTCTATTGCTCAATAGATTTTAGTAGAACTATAGATGCCTGCTTTTGACATGTGGACATAACCACAACACTAAATTCAATAGGGTACCTTCTTTCTCCAGTCTGTTTTCTTTCTTCAGCCAACTAGCTTTATAACTTTCTCCTCCTGCTTGCACCAGCATTCATTGCCTTTATTCATTGCAGATTCCACCCACTGAAGAGGGTTTGACCAAATTGGTCCAGATTGTAAGCACCTTCTCCCCGATATTTATGGTGTGGATGGGACCCTTTATCCCAGTCTTATCATTGGTTCATCCTGATTATATCAAGCAAGTTATGACAGCATCAGGTACTGTGGTGGTGAATGGTGGGAAAACTGGAAATAGATGGGGGGAGTCCACAATTAATTGGCAGAGACTCTATAGAGCCCAGTAGGCATTTGCTGAGTGCCCAGGTTGAATTCACATTGCAAAAGACCTGGTTTATTTAAATGTGGTACGTGGATGAAACCACAAGTAGATAAAACCATATAATTTAGGCCATAAGCAAGTGTTCATAAATCTCTGTGGCAGGGATCACTGAACCCAAAACAAAGCAATAGACAGTTTTACATTGCTGCAGAGAGGCTCAGATTAGGAGCTTCACCCCAAACCCAAATCTAGTTTTACAGGTTTTTAATGAAAAAAGCAATGGGAACCTTAATTTTAAGGTTCTTGGGATTTTTTTTTCATAATTTGGATTTGTGTTAATCTGCCTACATACTATTAAAACTCTCATTTCTATAACATTTAACTGGATGAAACAGCACATCATTGAGCCACAATTTTTGAACCAAGGATCCTCAAATGGACTAGTTTATAGAAAGTGTCCAAAATCCCAGGTCTCCCATAGAACTGAAATTTGGCAAGCTTTATAAAACATTTTATGATGTAAAAATTATCATAAAGCAGTTTATGACATTGTACAAATGTCATAAAACATTTCCTGTGGTTTAACTCCTGATGATTAACTATGCTATGCAGTTCAACATGGGCTACTTTCTTTTTTTAAAAAGTTTTTTATTTTTTAAAACAAACATTTAATACATCAGTCATTCCTTCCGTGTGACATCTTGGTGTTGTTTCCAATCATAACATGGGCTACTTTCAAGGGATAGTATGAGGATTCCTGGGGTTGAATTGGAAGAGTTCTAAGAACTCAAGAATTTTATGAATTGCATTTGTTCCTTTATGACTGCTGATCTTGATTTTAGCCATATATATATATATAAACATATATGATACACAGTATATTACGAATATAAAAATGTTTCATATATATATTGTAAGCCACAAAACCACTCTGTAAAATCAGGAATGCTCAACACTGATCCTAAAATCTCTCGACATGCCACTGAATCACACATTCTCTCTGAATCATAATCTCTCTGATATGTGAGGAAAGTATGAAATACATAATAAACAAAGATATGGAATCAATTAAATTTTCATTTTATTTAAATTGACATTGGAATACATTAACCTTTGATTTTCTTGATCTGCAACCACAGATCTTTGGAATATTGTGCCAAGCATCCTACTTAAAAGCCAAATGTGGCCTTATTTTCAAACTCTTTATTCACTCCTTTTCTACTGCAAGCTGGGAGATACCAGTCTAAGCTAATAAACATTTCCTGGGAACCCAACCAAGGATGATCTAATTCACACCCATAGTTGTGATACTATAATGGTTTTTGACATGCACACCTCAGTTTCCTAATTGGCTGTTCACAAAATGTGATGACTTTAATTCCAAGGTAGGAGTTGGACATTCCTAGATGTTCTGGATTGGAATTCTGGGGTAATAGCCAAAATATCTGATGAAGGTTATGCTGGGAAGACTGATAAAAATCAATGTGTCAAATGTCAATGAGGTTGTGGAATGCCTAGTAGAAATCCATAGTATTCTTTTGGATATTTCTACTTCTTTTTCCTTCTGTCTTATGTGCTATCTTTATCATTGCATGCAGTATTTTGTGGTAAATGAATTTTCATTTGATCCCTGTATGCTTATTAGGTTATTACTGCAATCAATCACAATGACCCAGTAGTTGGTCCAAATCAAGAAAGACTAAATGCCTATAAGTAGAACTGCTGGGGAAGAAATGGTGAACTTAAGATGGTTCCTGGGGAAGAAATGATTAACTTAAGACACCCACAACTGGTCTAGACAGTTGCTCCTCATGAGGAGACTGCAAGACAGTCTCCAGCTGATTTAGAGCTCCGGGAGACAAGAGCTAAACCTTAGTTGGGACCTTTGAAAGGATCTGACTTCTTACACTTTTTTAAATCACTTTTGGAAATTGCTTGTTTACTGCTTTTCTGCTATTAAGAATCTTTGGAATGATGTGTTTTATACTATCAGGCGAGTTTCCTTCAGTCCTTAGCAAATGACATTTTAAATAAAATTTAAGGACTTATTTTTTTTTTAATAAACAGCAAAACTTTTATTTTAGAAAATTGAAAATGGATTAAAGGTCCAGATAAGTTAGAAGTAAGATTTTGAAATTAATTATAAAGAATCCTTCCATGGGGAATTGCTTTTCTTTTGAATTCTTTTTTTTAAATAAGACTTTAAAAATTGGACACCAGGGAACTAGAAGAAGCTAGTAATTAAAGGAGAAATCAAACTCAATTTACAAATGCAGAATGAAGCAAAATATTTTAACATTGGCTATATTGAAGGAAATTTGACTGTTTGCTTCCTACATCTCCTCTTTTGTATCAGATTGTATGAGATTGATTGCAGAATTTAAAAATGGAAATTGAAACACATTCTAAACACGAGCTTTAGTGATGTTACACTTGAACAAAGCCTATATAAATGATGCAAAGAAAATACATGGAGAAAATACCCTCCAAGGAAGTTTTCTTCCTTCCTTGATATAAGATGGACATGACAGACCTATCAATAATATCAATTGTATTCTTATTGCTTAATTCCTGCAGTGGCATTGCCCCAGCCTGATTAGCCAAGCAAAGAGCTAATGATTGCTAAGGTACAAAGGGCAAGACACTTGTCAGAGAAGTAATAAGATAAGCATTTAGGAAAGACCACTTTTCTTTTAATTCTTACAGATTACAGATTAACAGAGTTGGAAGGGACCTTGTAGGTCATCTAATCCAACCCACCCACCCCCAGGAGACCCTACACCATTTCTGACAGGTGGCAGTCCAGTCTCTTCTTGAAAGCTTCAAGCTGTTCCATTGATTGCTTGTTCCCATTGTCAGAAAAATTCTCCTTATTTCTAGGTTGAATCTCTCCTTGAACAGTTTCCATCCATTATTCCTTATCTGGCCTTCAGGTGCTTTGGAAAATAGCTTGACCCCCTCCTCTCTGTGGCAGCCCCTCAAATATTGGAACACTGCTATCATGTCTCCCCTGGTCCTTCTCTTCACTAGACTAGCCATGCCCAGTTCCTGTAACCGTTCTTCATATGTTTTAGTCTCCAGTCCCCTAATCATCTTTGTTGCTCTTCTCTGCCCTCTTTCTAGAGTCTCAACATCTATTTTATAGTTGGTGACCAAAATTGGATACAGTATTCTAGGTGTGGTCTTACCAAGGCTTTATAGAGTGGTATTAGTACAGGGGTGTCAAACTCGCTTTGTTACGGTGGTGTCACATGATGTATCGGGACTTTTTTTCCTCTTCGCTAAATTGGGCGGGGTCGAGGCCAGCACATGACGCATCCGGCCTACGGGCTGCAAATTTGACACCCCTGTATTAGTACCTCACTTGATCTTGATTGAATCCTTCTGTTAATGCAACTTCTCTGGCTGCCACCTCGCACTGTTGGCTCATATATGACTGCTGAGGAACATGATATTTTAGGAATATTATTCTCAGAACTGGGAGGTTGGAACTATTTTACTGTTTTTAAAGAGAGCACCAGGAAAACTGTTTCTCTGTTTTTCTCTGCAGCTGATACTGCTCCCAAGGACAAATTCTTCTATGGCTTCCTGAAGCCCTGGCTTGGTAAAATACCTCTCACTTTATTAATAGATTGTTATGCAAAATTGCTCTAACACACAATGACAGGCAACAGAAATTTTAGGATCATAAAATGCTTTTTTAAAGAAAAGTACTACTCATAGACATATAGATAGTCCTCACTTAACAATCCTAATTGGGACTGGCAACTCCATTGCTAAATTCTGCAATTTTTGAATGAAAAGTCATGTGACTGCTCCACAGCAGTTCTGGCAATCCCAATTACTATTGTTGAGTGAATAGGCAAGGAGCCACCTGGATCCAAGCCATTCTTGGAAGAAGGTAAGGGATTGCCTCCACTTCAGCTCTCCCCATCTTCCCCCATCTCTGCCCTTTTGCCCACACCATCTAGCCCTGTCCTCCCCTGCCCACACCACATACCACTATTGGCTGGAACCTTCTTTTGCTCCACTTTCTTTCATGTGTCTCTTTTCCTTCTTTTGCACCAACACAACCAGGGCCTTATTTTGAGAATGGCCAGATGGGTCAGCCCAGCAGAGCAGAGCTCAGTGAAGAGTGAAGACAATGACAAAAGTCAGCTGGGGGTGAGGGGCAGTGGTAGGGGTTGTAAATGTGAGTGGGCCCAAATTTTATCCACATTACCACAGGGATACTGGAATAGCTGGAACTTTGAAGGCTGGTCACAACACCATTGTAGCTTCAAATGGTTATTGAATGAATAGTCATTAAGTGAGGACTTACACGTACATGCATGCCCATCATGCTATACTGTTATACTGTTTCAGGGTAAACAACATAAAGTTGCTTCCCCTGAAATGGTATAACATGATGGGCATGCATATACATGTAGTCCAGAAAAAAGTAAAAGTGTTACATCAGCAAAACTGAAGTCATGGGATAAGTAAAAGAGAACAGGAAAAACCAGTTTATATTAACATACACCATGCCTCTCCAAGTCTCCATCCTTTTTTATCATTACTGTGAAAGTTTGAGGTTGGGAAAAGTGAGAGAGACCTGGGATAACCAGTCAAAAGACAGCAGGTGGATTAGCTGACAATTTAAGCCAGGTGGAGAGAAATCTGGGAAGAAGTATTTCAAATCACTGGGAGAAACTCTGCCTTAATTAATATAAATGAGGCTGGGAAACTCTTACAGCTTCCAAGATTTTATATTTACCCCAGGGTAGCATTAAAGATCTCTCTGAAATACAGTATGTTTGTGTAATGTATAATGCTTTCAATCTCTATAGTTCTGTAGAAAACCCTTCCACATTGTGGTCCTCTAGGCATTGGCTATATCAGGCTACTTCATGTGTACTAACTGTATAGCTCAGGGTATCTTACAGGTGGAGCACATGCCAATATATACTTTATAGTTAGTTCAAATGATTTGTTTTGTGTATGTTGAAATATTGTCTCTGATTATCACAAGCCACTGTGTTATGACCCAGATGATAAAGGCCAGGCAGGCCTCTAGAGAGTTCTTTCCCTTAATACAGGAGTGTCAAACTCACAGCCCGTGGGCTGGATGCATCACATGGTGGCCACGCCCACACCTGGTTTAGCGAAGGGGGAAAAAGTCACAATACATCATGTGATGATGCCATAACGATGCGAGTTTAATACCTCTGTCTTAATATATGTTTCAGCCAAAGGGCCTCCAACAACCAGTAAGGCTCCACCCCCACGCTACCCTGCAGGCAGCCACTCTAATTCCCAAACAGCCACATAGTACAAAGAAAGCTCACAGAGTAGGAGCATGCTCCCAGGGCAAGGCAGAGGTGGGATTCAGCCTGTTCGCACTGGTTCAGGAAAACCGTTTGTTAAGATTTTGTGCAGTTCGGAGAACCAGCTGATCACATCACTGGCTGGCCCCTCTCCTCCCAGTCATTCCTGATCTCGCCTTGCCTTCCTTAGCCATTGCCTAGAGTCATGCCCGCAGCATAGCTGCTGCTGCTCTCTGGTTCCCTCACTTGCCTCGACCACGCAGCCCAGCTAATCTCTGCCCGGTGAGCCTTCCTTTGCTTCTTGCCCAGCTGCCTCCCATGCAGCTTACCCAGCCCAGCCTGCCTTCCTCAAAGCCTTCCCCGTGGTCCCCATGGCCTGCTTGCTTCCTGCCCCTGCAGCACAGCCTGCTTGCTTGCGGCCCCCGTGGCCCAGCCTGCTTACCTGCCTTCCCCTCAGCCTCCTACATGGCCCCCATGGCCCAGCCTGCTTGCCTGCCCTCCCCATGGCCTCCCACACAGCCCCTGTGGTCCAGCCTGCTTGCTTGCCTTCCCATGCGGTCCCCTGTTGTGGCCCGCCAGCAGCCTGTACGGATCGTGGCTGATCCCAACGAAGAGGAGGCTGGTGTGGTATCACGCTAGCAGCCTACGCAGCCAGCGCTCACGATGGACAGCGAGGAGGCTGAAGAGGATGTGGTGCCAGAGCCAGAGACTCAGCCAGGGCCTTCAGAACCTCCAGAGGTTCCTTCAAGTGGAGAGAGCGGTGGAGGAGCCTCTCCTCAATGCTTGAGCACGCAGGGCTGCCAAAAGGCAGGAGTGGCTACTCAGGAGGAGGAGGTCTACTCGAGAGTAGAGCTTGAGGATAATTGGCCACTCCCTTAGCCTATTTAAGTCGCATGCAGCTAGTGCTTTCTTGCTGGAAACAACTCGTATTTATGATCAGAGTATTTTGGTTTATCATATCTTGTTTTCTGGGCTGGTTGCCAACCTTTGCCGGTCTTGTTTATTCTTGCTACTTAATAAATTTGATAAGGACCATTGGTGTGTGTCAATATCCTCGGAAACCCAGAGCTGGGGCAGAACTTCCCCTCAGCCCAGCCTGCTGCTCTCTGATTCTCGCACTTGACCCGACCATGCGGCCCAGTTGATCAGCCTGGCTGCAGTTAGGAACCCAACTAGGGCTAGCTGTCTTGTCACCAACGGGCACTCTCCAGTGGCGTCAGCCTTATCTTCTCAGGGCAAACGAGGAGTGGCTGTGAGTGGAGGGGCCGGTTGTGGCGCCCCTCGACTTGAGTGATGTTGAGTTGGTCACACCCACCCAGTCACATTATCACCCAATAACACTACCCAGCTGGTCATTAGGGCAGAAAACTGGTTGTTAAATTATTTGAATCCCACCACTGGGGCAAGGTCCAGTTTCCAAGTACAATCCACTAGACAGAGTCCAGGCACAATACAAAGGCAGTCCTCAGGACAAGAAACAGGTCACAGAAAAGAAGCAGTTTCAAAGCCCCAGTGAAGCAGAGGCAAAACGCAGGCAACAAGAGAAGGGCTAGATCCAAACCAAAATGCAAAGAGCAATCTTTCAGGCAAGGCAAACAGGCACGAATCAAAGCCAGGTGAGTGTAAGCCAAAGCAAACAAGTGTTCCTGGCAAAAACTAACTCCCCACGGCTTCTTCTTAAGTTACTTCCCTCCAGGTGTTCCTTGTAAGCAGAGGTGGAGTGACCTTCTCCCGAGTAGCCTTGGTGATCCTTGTGCTAGGATCAATGGAGTAAATAGTTGTTCCTCATCAGAGGAGATTGACTGTCTATAGGCACCACTGCTCCTCTGTGTCTGTGCAGGCAGGCAGCTCTCCGCCTGGTCAACCACCTCCCCCAATGCCTGAGGATCCCGGGACAGCATCGTCCTCAGCCCCTGGAGTGCCTTCACTGTCGGACAGTCCCAGTTCCAAATCTTCCTCCTCCTGCGAACCAGGCTCTGAGGGGGCCATGACACTGATAGATCCAAGGCAGAATAGCTTTATTTACTGTCCATCTTCAGGGCTGCTTCAATAAACTATTTTTTAGATTTGGTGATTTAGGCCAGTTTGCACCAGATATGTTGGATCACAAATCCCTGAATTGCCCAGCTGGTATAGCCTACTGGTTGGGAAATCTGGAAGCTGTAGTCCAATTTATCTAGAGAATACCAAATTGGAGAAGTCGGATTTAGTTTGTATGGAAAGATGCAGACAGTTCCTCCGGTGAAGAGGAACTTTGCCTCAATCAATCCTTTGCCTCAATCATTTTTCTTACCACAGGAGATGGATTATTACTGAGCAGTGGGACAAAGTGGGCTCGACACCGGCGTTTGCTCACTCCTGCTTTTCATTTTGATATCCTGAAACCTTATGTGAAAATCTTCAATCAGAGTACAGACATCATGCATGTAAGCTATTCTAAAACTTGGGCATTCTTCCCATTTCCATACTCATTAAATGTCTCTGCATCTCTGCATTGTTGGTGCAGTCTATCTATATGTACAACTGAACAGTTTTTCATGCACAGATATTGAACATGATCTCTTTTTGCACTAGTTTTGTAGCCACACCAGAAGCAGTTAGATGGATAATTTCCTTAAATATTGAACTATAGCATCTATCCTATTGAGATTCTATGGTGCCATATTAGGGAATTTTATCATGGTTTTATCCTAACTCAATATTTTATTTATTGTACATACACTTTACATACATGTATTTGCTGTTGCTTTATTTAAACATATATTTGTGTTTATACAAGATGTGGAGAGAGATGGCCAGATAATTGCTAAGAGTCGGACGTGACTGAAAGCATAACATCATCATCATCAATGATTGAATGGTTTCTGTAGATATCATATGCTAAGTAAAATAAATTTGTGTACTTCTCCATTTCTCTGTTCTATCTTCCTTCTTTATATGTTCAATATGCAGATGTGAAATATCAGTATTCTCTCTCCTTGGTTTATTCCCCAGGCATTTGCATAGCCTTTTGCTCATCCTGAATCACATCTGCCTTGGCCTTGTGCAAGATCTGGGCTACCTCCCTGACTTTGGTATCATTTTGTTCCTTTTCTAGGTTTTATGTATTGCATATCATCTTTTTACAGGCCAAGTGGCACAGACTGATCTCAGCAGGCCCTATTTCTCTTGACATGTTTAAGCACATCAGCCTCATGACTCTAGACAGCTTGCAGAAATGTGTTTTCAGCTCTAATAGCAACTGTCAAGAGTAAGTAAATCAGCAGCATGAAGAAGTGCAATAAAAGGAAGATAAGCATGCATATATGTTATATTTTTCGAGGCCAATAACTGAATTCCTTTTCCAAATACATGGGCATACTGAAGCCAGGGCTGCACAGAGGGTGCAAACTCAATTTTTTGCAATTTCATTTCAGTGATAAATAATTGGCATGTATTTTTCAATATGATGAGGCAAGAAACACATGAAATCTGTAGTCTAAGTCCTAAACTAAGTTTAGCATCATTTTTAAAAATAAAGAATTCTCCCAAACAATTTCCCCAAACTCAATGGGGAAAAAGAGAATGTTATGGATCCAGGCATTTTGCATCAAAGCTGTTATCCTCTCAAAACATGTTACGTGTATCCCCAGCCTCCAAGTGGGGGAACCTCTGCCCCAGATTGGGAGCCTAAACTTGGAAATAATCATTGCCTTTATAGATAAGTTTAATGCTATTAAAATTGCATTCAAACATTAGGGCTTCTATAAAAATAGTAATACTACAATATTCTTACTTACCCATTCAAAAAGATTCCCAATATCTTAGTAACTTAGATGTGTCTGGAATATTTTCTTAGAGAAAGCAAACTCTTTTTTTACAGTGAGATATTAAAAATCTTTGAGACGGCATTTTCAGAACAGCAACTCACATTTCTCAAAGTGATGAGAATGATCTCTTTGATCCAGAATATCGTAAACAGAATAACTTTTGCCACGTTTCAGCCTCACCATACTTGCTATCTTTGTATAAATATGCATAGAATTGCATTGTTAATCCTTTGGAAGTTAGATCCCTTAAATAAACTGAGACTTTCTGATGAATGCATATGTTTCTGTTATATCACATATATTGGGAAATAAAAAGAATTCCAGGTCAATACTTACCACAGATATTTTTCTAACATACTAGTGTTGTTTAATGAATGTTACAAGTGTAAAAGAAACACTACAAAGAATAGTTACTGTATTTGTGTTATATAGATATGTTAACATTCTGTTTTTCAGACCAATGGTATACTCTGAGCAATGTTAAGACTTACTTGTATTTCTTAGGGAAAAATGTACTGTATTCCTGAATTCTAAGTACTTGTTTCTATTGAATTTCTCTTATTTTTTTCTTATAACAAAATCATTGGATACATTCCAGGAAATCAAGTGACTATATTGTGGCCATCTTGGAGCTTAGTTCTCTTGTTGTGCAGCGACAAAATAAACTGTATTTGCAATCTGACTGGGTTTATTACCTGACACCCCATGGCCACCGTTTCCGTCGTGCATGTAAAATTGTGCATCGTTTCACAGCGAATGTGATTCAGGAACGGCGAATGGCACTAAGCCGCTTGGGCCAGAATGCCTGGCTCATATCAAAGCAGAGCAAAACCATTGACTTCATTGATGTTCTGTTGTCGGCCAAGGTATGTATGTATTTAACTCTTTCAGATGTGATTAGATTAGATTAACAGAGTTGGAAGGGACCTTGTAGGTCATCCAGTCCAACCCCCCCACCCTACATCAGTGTTGACTAACCTTTTCAGCACCAAGTGCTGAAATGGGAGTGTGTGGCCAGGGAGCGCTGGAAACCGGAAGAGGAGCTCCCTGGAGCGCACGCACAGGAGCACCAGAAACTGGAATAGCCGTTCCCCAGCACACATCTACGTGCCAGGATGCACATGCACACTGGTCACCTGGTCTTCCCGTTTCTGGCATGCATGCAAGTGCAAAGACGAGCACACATATGTGCGCTGGAACCCGGAAGAGCAACAGGTGACAGCTGGCGTGCCCGGAGAGATGGCTCTACATGCCACTTCCAGCATGCATATCATAGGTTTGCCAACACAGCCCTACACCATTTCCGACAAATGGCAGTCCAATCTCTTCGTGAAAGCCTCCAGTGATGAAGCTCGTACAAGTTCAAAAGGCAAGCTGTTCCATTGGTTGATAGTTCTCACTGTCAGAAAATTTCTCCTTATTTCTAGGTTGAATCTCTCCTTGGTCAGTTTCCATCCATTATTCCTTGTCTGGCCTTAGAAAATAGCTTGACCCAGTGGTGAAATCTAAAATTTGTTACTACCGGTTCTCTGGGCGTGGCTTGAGGGGGTAATGTGACTGGGTGGGCGTGGCCAATTTTTTTTTTTTTTTTACTTTTAAAATTATTTTTTCTACAACCTCTTCGGGGAAGAGGTTGTAAAAACATGCTTTCAAAAGGCTCTGACAATCCCAGCTGAGTTGCCTGAGTGGCAGAGGTTTTTTTAAAAAGCCTCTGCCAATCAGGCAACTCAGCTTGGATTGTCAGAGGCATTTAAAAGAAAAAAAAGGTTTTTTTCTTTTAAAAGCCTTTGACAATCCCAGCTGAGCCACGCGATCATCAGAGGCTTTTTTTTTTACTTTTAAAAGCATTTTTTGGCTGAAGAGGTTGTAGAAAAAATGCTTTTAAAAGTAAAAAAAAAAAAAGCCTCTGATGATTGTGCGGCTCAGCTGGGCATGTGGGGGAGGGCAGGGATTTTTGCTACCGGTTCTCCAAACCACCCGCCTTCATCGCTACCAGATCGGGTGATCCGGTCCGAACCGGGAGCATTTCACCCCTGGCTTGACCCCTTCCTCTCTGTGGCAGCCCCTCAAATATTGGAACACTGCTATCATGTTTCCCCTGGTCTTTCTCTTCACTAGACTAGCCATGCCCAGTTCCTGTAACCGTTCTTCATATGTTTTAGTCTCCAGTTCCCTAATCATCCTGGTTGCTCTCCTCTGCACTTTTTCTAGAGTCTCAACATCTTTTTTATAGTGTGGTGACCAAAACTGGATGCAGTATTCTAGGTGTGGTCTTACTAAGAGTGGTATTAGTACATCACTTGATCTTGATTGTATCCCTCTGTTAATGCAGTTTAGGATTGCATTGGCTTTTTTGGCTTCCACTGCACACTGCTGGCTCATATTTCGTTGATTATCCACTAAGACTCCAAGATTTCTCTCACAGTTAAAACCTGGTTTCACCCAGTCTATATATGTAATTTTGGTTTTTCTTGTCTAAGTGTAAAACTTTACATTTCTCTACATTGAATTTCATTTTGTTAGATAGGGTCCAGTGTTCAAGTCTGTCAAGATCCATCTGGATCTTGAGCCTATCTTCTAGGGTGTTAGCTATTCCTGCCAGCTTAGTATCATCTGCAAATTTGGTAAGTTCCCCTTCTATTCCCTCATCTAAGTCATTTATGAAGATATTGAAGAGTACTGGGCCTAAGACGGAACCTTGTGGTACCCCACTTTAACAGTTTAACTGTTTTAGACAACAGCTGGTTTCAGCTTTTCCTCCAACCCTGTTTGCAATATAAACACAATATTTAATTTAAGTTTGCACATAGGATTCATTAAACAAAGTAAATGCACTCTTGATTTGTATTTCCAGGACAGAAGAATAGCTATAGTGCTCATTCCCTCCTACTAGGCTCCTCGACATTGAACTCTTAATTCTTTTGCAATCATACAAGCTCGTGTTGGTGCTAGGTTACACAGTATCCTGGGTTATAGCCTCCCATTTTAAGTTGTCTCCTTCAAGAAATAAAGAAACATAGGAAGAAAACTTCAGCTGCCTGGGGAGGGCACACAATGACAGGATTCACTATAACATCATTCTGGAAGAAGCTAGGGAAGAACAGAATAAATTTAATAAAGGTTCTCATGAGCAGATTTCAATGAAGCAGATTTCAGATTTATGTGTAGGTTATGTATTTTGAGGGAAAACAGTTAAAATCATTATCAGAATTCAGTATTAGAGTGATGTTCCTTCTCTGGTTTTGAAATTGTTTTGGTTAAAGAAGGATTTTAACCAGACAGGTTTAAAAAATGCTAGCCTCCCATTTGCTTTCCAACTTATGAGAATAGCAAAAAAAAGTACAAAATATAAAGCAAGATGCTATGAAGAAATGAGCTTCTCTAGTTCAGGGGTTTTCCAATTTTTTCTGAAAATGTTGGCTAAAAAATGTCATAGAATCCCTGACCAAGAGGCAAAGATCTTTTTTTTTCTGATAGAAAATAGGCTCTGCTAAAGATTTTTTTTTTCCTTTTTGCCTTAGTCTCACATGGATCCCTATCAACTTCTAATATTTCCCCAGTATTTCACTGAACACCATTTGAAAAACTGCAGTAATTGTTAGTCAGTTTTTTAAAAAAGCTTTTCCTAGTTTGCAAAGGGCAGTTTAATTATCTGAATGCTCATTGTTCTTCATCACATATGAAGAATGAATTCATATGAATGATGCTGTGTTTTCACATGATTAATCGCAGAAATGCTGTGGAAGAAGCTTCTCCTCTTGAAAAGGCCTGTGTAGAATGCTGCTATTTACTAATAGAGACATTAGGGTTTCGGTCTGCAGGTTTCATTGGAACAGAAGCCCCACTTTTGCAAAAAGCCATCAAGATATATGGAAAAAACTCTGAACTGCTCTGGAGATGGGGATCCCAACAAATCCAGTCAAGGCTGTTTATAGCAGAGTGGGAGGATGGCAGATGCTGAGTTCATGCTGTGTGAGACTCTTGATTAAGGGAACAACATTACCACAGTGAGATTCCCAGGCTGTCTTGTCTAAATAAATATCTATTTTTTTCACTGTAGGATGAAGAGGGTCAACATTTGTCTGATGAAGACATAGCAGCTGAAGCTGACACATTCATGTTTGAAGGTGAGATGGGTGAATGAATCTCATGCATGCAGTGGATTTCTCAGAAACAAAAACTGGAGAAATGGGGCCTCCATTCCAAGCTGCAAGAATGCTGCAAGTCTAGAAGGAAAGAGTTACTTGTGGCTTCCGCTTTGACTGATCAATGGCTTGTTCAATGTAGAGGCTATATGTTGTTAATTGCCTTATCTGGTGCTGTCCCAGTTTTGATGTATCAGGGGTGAAATGTTCCTGGTTCAGACTGGATCGATCTGGTAGCGATGACGGTGGGTGGTTCGGAGAACCGATAGCAAAAATCCCTGCCCTCCCCCCATGCCCAGCTGAGCCGCACAATCATCAGAGCCTTTTTTTTTTACTTTTAAAAGCATTTTTTCTTCAGCCGAAGAAATGCTTTTAAAAGAAAACAAACGTCTCTGACAATCAGGCAACTCAGCTGGGATTGTCAGAACCTTTTAAAAGCATTTTTTCATAACCTCTTCAGCTGAAGAGGTTGTAGAAAAAATGATTTTAGAAAAAAAAAAAAGGGCCATGCCCATCCAGTCACATTACCACCACCACCCACCCAGCCACAGAACCTGTAGTAACACATTTTACATTTCACTACTGTGATGTATCCTACTGTTTGCATCTCTTCCCCATGCCAGGCCCCTGGAAAAGGACTTATCCTAAGCACAATGTTTTGAATTAAGGCCCAAACTGTGGGGCAGTCCATTTGCCCTGTATTATCAGTTGATTATTTCCATGAGCTGCAACAGGCTGATATTTGTATCCAAAAGGAGTTGTGGTTTCCAGTGTCTGGGCCCTCTTCTCCAGACCAGAGTGATTACCTGGTCTTTGCACTGTGCCTATCCAACTAAGATCATTCAGCTTCTGGAACAATGATTATCTTTCAAAACCAATGTCCCTGCACTGTTCTGGATGCAGAAGGATCATAACAAACTGACTTGTGTCCAGGGGTGAAATTCAGCAGGTTCTGACAGGTTCTGGAGAACCAGTAGCGGAAATTTTGAGTAGTTCAGAGAACTGGCAAATACCACCTCTGGCTGACCCCAGAGTGGGGTGGAAATGAAGATTTTGCAGTATCCTTCCCCTGGAGTGGGGTGGGAATGGAGATTTTGCAGTATCTTTCCCCTGCCACGCCCACCAAGCCACGCCCACAGAACCAGTAGGGAAAAATCTTGAATTTTACCCCTGCTTGTGTCCCTTTAATTGTTAGACTTGTTCATTGGCGTTTTAGAAGAATGTGCACAATTAGATCCCTATGAGTCATATAGGCCATTACTAAATGAAAATCAGATGAAGAAATAGAATAGAATAGAACAGAATAGAACTAGAAAGGACATTGAAGGTCTTCTAGTCCAGCCCCCTGCTCAAGCAGAGACCCTGTACCATTTCTTCCATATACAATAGATGTATTGTATCTTGACAGGGGGGCAAAGGTCGACCCCGAGGCCCCTTGTATGTGGGGTGCCGCAAGGATCGGTCCTCTCGCCCCTTCTGTTCAACATTTATGTGAAGTCGCTGGGCGAGATCATCCGTGGTTTTGGAGTGAAGTACCACCAGTACGCTGATGACACCCAGCTGTACATCTCCACCCCAGACCACCCCAATGATGCCCTTGAAGTGATGTCCCGGTGCCTGGAGGCCATACGGATCTGGATGGGGAGGAACAGACTGAGGCTCAACCCATCCAAGACCGAGTGGCTGTGGTTTCCGACATCCCGATATAGTCAGTTGGCACCATCACTGATTATTGGGGGCAAGTCGTTGGCCCCCACGGATGGGGTTCGCAACTTGGGTATCCTCCTGGACTCACTGCTGTCTTTAGAAGAGCATATGACGGCTGTGGCTGGGAGGAATAGAGTAGAATAGAATAGAATAGAATAGAATAGAATAGAATAGAATAGAATAGAATAGAATTCTTTATTGGCCAAGTGTGATTGGACACACAAGGAATTTGTCTTGGTGCATATTCTTGGTGAAGTAGGTTGTGGTCTACTTTTTCAAATGTAAATGAAGAATAATTTTCTTGGGAATCTTTGGCATTTTTATCTTAAACAAAAATCTTCAAATGGGATCCCTTTTGATAAGTATCATGTAGTCCTGCCCTGGACAGTTTCCATGTAACTTTTGTTTTGTTTTAGGCCATGACACTACAGCAAGTGGCTTGTCCTGGATTCTATACAATTTGGCTCAATACCCCAAATATCAAGACCAGTGCCGGGCAGAAATTCAAGATCTGCTGCAGGGACGGGAAACAGAAAAAATTGAATGGTAATGGGCTGTAGGCAGAAAGAAAGCAATCCAGAGGGTGGAAGATCAAGGCAGATTCAGATGTTACTTGAATAAGAAAGTGAACTAAGCCAGAGCTAATGTCTTCCATGGGTGAAATTATAATGTTACATCATTAAGAACATCTTTACATGCTGGCTGGAGAATTCTGGGAATAAGTCCACATTAGTTGCCTGGTCCAGAGGTTCATTAAATGATGATATTGTTGAGGATTATGCAAGTTGTTTGCTTAAAGTTAGAGACCTATTGTAAAGGTATTGTGAAACTTGAAGTTGTTTGCTTGGAGAGTATTACATGTGTATGTCAAAATGCCAGTACCTTCTTGGGCAAATTGAGCCAGAAATGGGAAGATCAAAAAGATGCTTAGGAAGGGTTTCATTTTCAAGGCTGAGAACTTTAGGCTGCTTAAATGTCAGCAGGACTCAACTGCAGTTGTGGGAAGGTGGAAGCCATTTTGTAAGTCCATCAGTTGTCTTTCACAGCAAAATGACTGGCTTAGGTTCTGGAAAATAACTTTTAAAAATTCCCATCTGCCTCTGTTTATTATGTTATTTATGTTTTGCAGAGTTACCTGACTACTTTGTAGTGGACATTTGCCTTTTACAAGCTTCCCAGCTGAGTTTGCCTCTAGCTTTTCTTTGTGAGACTTTCTCTGTCCTTCCCCTTCATTAGACCATATTCTGGGGTAGGGTCCTCCTTTCCTTTGTTGGCTATTTGTGGGGCACAATTCAGGCACAGATTGTTTGTCTTGGCAGGATTGGTAATTTTGTGTGATTGGCTCTCAGCAAATTTTGCAAAATACTCTTTTAGAGAATCTACTTTGTTTTTAGCTGTAGTCAGCAAGTTGAAGATTGAAAGAACAATCTGGGTTGCCAAAATTCTTTGTCTGATTACAAAATCAAACATAGTCTGGCAGCAATCAAGCTGTACATATGCAAACAGTTGGTCTGGTTTGAATACTCAAAGCTAAATCACCATCAGAATGTATTCCCTTTCTTTCCAAACAGTTTTGATACATTCGTGGCTTTCCACCTACATTTTTGATACCTGTAGCTGTAGATGATCAAAATAGGCTCCTGCTTTTTCTGGGTTTGACCAGGGAAAGTGTGTAGGATAGTTCAGGGAGAGTTTTGAAATTGAAATTGCGATATTGTAAAAATCAACAATTTGTCTTATTTTTCCCCAAAAGCAAAGGTCAAAAGGCACAAGACACCTAATAAGAGAGCACAGGGGGCTAGCACCCAGATAGAGCAGAAAGCTCCTATGCCAGCCCCCAGGTTGTCCAAACTCAAGGATGCTGGCTCTAATCCCAATGAAGCTCCTAAACTGGCTCCTAGTGTCAGCTTCCTCTGGAACCACCTGTCCTCCGCCGAACAAACACTACACACACACACTCAAAAAGTGAAGCTATCCGGGCTTCCTGTCTGGCTTCCGTTGCCGCCAGACGGTCCTCTGAGACCGCCAGCCCCGTTGCCTGTAAAGAGCCGCCTTTACATCTGAAAGGCGGCTCGAAAAACTCCATTTCCTGAGGGAAATGTGAGACAGAGCAGGCGAGGGCAGGTAGAGCTCTCTGCGAAGTCCCCAGAGTTTTTTTTTTACTCTTGGGGACGAGCAGGTTGTGGCTTCCTATTTTCGCTCGCCGCTACTCCGGGCTTCAGGAGAACTCTGCCTTTTTGCAGAGCCAGGCGCTGGGACCGGACTAATCAATGAAACTAACAGATCATCTGAATAAGCAGGATGAAATTCGGATCGGGGATCCTAAACTGCAAGTATTCTAACCCCAAGACTGATTTTAAAGTTAAAGAAGAGTGAAAGGAGGAAAAAGGAGAGTTTAAAATGGCGACTGACTGAGGCTTGAGAAAAGCTGAAAGTGAAAGTCCTTCCATTTGAATAGCTTATAACGTTACAAAGTTACAAAGTATCTAGCAAAAGTGCTGGTTAGAAGTGAGAGGAAAAATTCTTATTTCATGTTTCTTCCTTCTTAGGGATTTGTTATTGATATTGTTTGGAGAGAAGTCTTTTTCTTTAAAAGGAAAAAAAAATCTTTTGTGTGGCAGGATGGCGCTGAAACTGACAAAGCCAGATAACCAAGCCATTGGGGGGGGGGGTTTCTCCCATTTATAAATCGCATGAACAAGTTGAGAGTTTGCAGATGCAGAAGAATGGCCTCATAGACCTAAAGAAATTTTTACTGGAGGAGATGGCAAGACATGATAAGACTGTGAATCTGAATCTTGAAAATTTTAGACAGGAAATTAAAGAGTTGATTCAACAAAAGTATGATATTCTGAAGCAACATATGAAAAGTTTTATAGAAATAATTCTGAAGATGGATGAAATTATAAATTCAAAAATAGACACTAAGGAAGTTGATGATAAGATTTATAATTTGAATAATAAAATACAAAGAATTGAAAATGATTTAATAAGGATTCAAGAAAAAAGCTCAGAAGTAGAGTTTAAAAAAATAAAGGAAGCTGACTATAAGACTTACAATGTGGATAATATAAAACAAAGGATTGATAATTGTATAGTTTTGCCAGAATCTTTTTATTTGTTCCCATCAGGACTTTATCCAATCCATTTGGTCCAAGTTCTAAACCGTATTGTTCTTTGTCTCTCTGATATCTGGATTTTACTTGTGAGTAGGTCCACCAATCTAGGATTATTCCTTGCTCTCGTAAGGTGTCATTTGGTTTAAGCCTCCCTCCTTCGTCCAAAATATCTTTGTATCTGCCCATTTTCTCCCTCTCCCGCCTATTTGGGTGGGTCAGGGCCTCCATCGTTGAGAGCCAATTTGGAATTTTTTTGTAATATTTCTGCCTAATCTGAGTCCATGTTTGTATCAGGGAGTCTCTAATTTTATGTCTATGGAAATGTGTCTTCCTTTTCTTCTCCGTGTCCCAAATATGGGCGTGCCAGCCTTTTTGCAAGTCATGGCCTTCTAAAGTGAGAATCCTCTCACTTTCCAGGGTGATCCAGTCTCTTAACCAAACTAGTTTAGCTGCTCTGTAGTATGTTTCCCAATCCGGAAGTCCAAATCCGCCTATATCTCTTTTGCCCCTTAAAATTTTAATGGAAAATCTCGGTTTTTTCCCCTCCCATATAAATTCTCTGATGATTTTGTCTAATTCTAAAAAAAAAAATTTATCTAAATTTATCGGTATATTTTGGAATAAGAATAATATTCTGGGGAGGATGTTCATCTTAATTGTGGCTATCTTGCCCAAAAGTGATAGTCTTATTTTTTTCCAGCTATCTAGGTCTTGTTTCATTTTTCTAATTAGGGGAATATAATTGTCGTCTTTCAGGGTCGAACATCTTGATGTAATCCAAATTCCTAGGTATTTAATTTTTTTGGCAACCTGTAATCCTAATACTTCTTCTATCTCATTCTTCTGGCTCTCAGTTGTGTTCTTGATCAATACTTTGGTTTTAGTTTTGTTCAGTATAAAGCCTGCCACCTCTCCATATTTACTTAATTCCTCTAATACTTTAGGTCCCGATTCTATGGGGTCTTCAAGGATTAGAGCTACGTCGTCCGCAAATGCTTGCGTCTTGTAGGTCTCCTTCCTGATCTTCAATCCTTTTATTTCCTCGTTAGTTCTAATTTTCCGGAGAAGAACTTCTAGGGCCAAAATAAACAATAAGGGGGATAGGGGACAACCTTGCCTTACTCCCTTACTAATTTGGAATGTTTTGGTCCTATCCCCATTCACCAGGATGCTCGCCTTTTGGTTATTATAAATAGATTTAATCATCATTTCAAAATTTGTTCCGAATTTCATAATCTCAATTTGTTTAATCATGAATTTCCAATTTAGATTGTCAAATGCTTTTTGAGCATCAACAAAGATCAGAGCCATCTGTTTTCCGGGGTGTTCTTCATAATACTCTAGTGTATCTAGCACGATTCTCAAATTATCCCTAATTTGTCTCCCCGGTAAAAATCCGTTCTGGTCTTTGTGTATCCAATTATTTAAAATCTTTTTCATCCTTTCTGCCATTATACCCATGAACAATTTGTAGTCAGTATTTAGGAGCGAAATTGGTCTATAGTTTTGGATTTGTTTTAGGTCGGCACCTTCTTTCGGCACAAGTGTAACATGCGCCTCTTTCCATGACTCTGGAATTTTATGGTCTAGCAATGCGTCATTGAAAATTTCTACTAATTTCGGTTGGAGTGTTTCTTCTAATTTTTTATATATTTCCCCTGGGAATCCGTCAGGTCCTGGCGCTTTATTATTTTTCAATTTGGAGAGGGCTGTTTTTAATTCTTCAATTGTAATCTTTCTGTTGAGCATTTCTTTCTCATCATCAGTTATTTGTGGGAGCTCTGCTTTAATCAAATATTGTTCTATTTTGTCATCCGGTATCTCCTCTTCTTTGTATAGGGATTCGTAGTATTCTCTCACCCTATCCCGTTTTCCTTCCTCGTTAGTCAATAATTCGCCCTTAGAGTCTTCTAAGGTATGGATTATTCCCCTTTCATTTTCCTTTTTTAATTTATAGGCCAGCCACCTACCCGATTTATTAGTATTCTCAAAAAGATATTGTTTCGTTCTTTTCATTCTTTGTGCCAGCTCTTCTTGCTCCATGATATTTACTTTATGCTTCCACATCATCCAATTTTCTTTGGCAGCTTCATCTTCTGGGTTATCTTGGAGTTTTCTTTCTGATTCTCCTATATGATTTAAATAGTCTTCCAGGATCTTCCTTTCTTCTTTATTTTTATGTGCAGTATATGAAATCGCGACTCCTCTCAGATAGGCCTTCATTGTATCCCATACTATTGCGCGGGATGTACCTTTGTTTTCATTTTCCTTAAAAAAGAAGTTTATTTCTTCTTTGAATTTTTGTATACAGTCTTTGTCGCCCAATAATTTAGCATTTAACCTCCACCTTCGTTGGTATTTTCTCTGAACAAGCTTCCATCTAATTTCTAGTGGATTGTGATCTGCCCAATCATTTGGGTTAATTAC